TTCACATGTCATGTTTGTTGGTACTACTTCACAGATTACTGTAGAATTACAGTCTCACTTCACATGTAATGTTTGTTGGTCCTACTTCACAGATTACTGTAGAATTACAGTCTCACTTCACATGTAATGTTTGTTGGTCCTACTTCACAGATTACTGTAGAATTACAGTTCTAGTCTCACTTTACATGTCATGTTTGTTGGTACTACTTCACAGATTATTGTAGAATTACAGTTCTAGTCTCACTTCACATGTCATGTTTGTTGGTACTACTTCACAGATTACTGTAGAATTACAAGTCTCACTTCAAGTGAAGTAGGACCAACAAACATTACATGTGAGACTAGAACTGTAATTCTACAGTAATCTAGACTAGAACTATAATTCTACAGTAATCTGTGAAGTAGGACCAACAAACATTACATGTGAAGTGAGACTAGAACTGTAATTCTACAGTAATCTGTGAAGTAAGACCAAGAAACATTACATGTGAAGTGAGACTAGAACTGTAAATCTACAGTAATCTGTGAAGTAGGACCAACAAACATTACATGTGAAGTGAGACTAGAACTGTAATTCTACAGTAATCTGTGAAGTAGGACCAACAAACATGACATGTAAAGTGAGACTAGAACTGTAATTCTACAGTAATCTGTAAAGTAGGACCAACAAACATGACATGTAAAGTGAGACTAGAACTGTAAATCTACAGTAATCTGTGAAATAGGACCAACAAACATGACATGTAAAGTGAGACTAGAACTGTAAATCTACAGTAATCTGTGAAGTAGGACCAACAAACATTACATGTGAAGTGAGACTAGAACTGTAATTCTACAGTAATCTGTGAAGTAGGACCAACAAACATTACATGTGAAGTGAGACTAGAACTGTAATTCTACAATAATCTGTGAAGTAGGACCAACAAACATTACATGTGAACACTTCACATGTAATGTTTGTTGGTCCTACTTCACAGATTACTGTAGAATTATAGTTCCAGTCTCACTTCACATGTAATGTTTGTTGGTCTTACTTCACAGATTACTGTAGAATTATAGTTCTAGTCTCACTTCACATGTAATGTTTGTTGGTCCTACTTCACAGATTACTGTAAATTAGTTATAGTCTCACTTCACATGTAATGTTTGTTGGTCCTACTTCACTGATGCTTCTCTTACTCTAAAATACTGTTTGCGATTCCCACATCGTTATTTGTATCCTAATTTTATTTGTCTGCCTACTATGTTCTACAATTTTCGTTCTTGGCTGCATATATGCGTATATGTATATATGGTCCCTAAGCCAGAACACATGTCATGGACCGAAGGGAATGATTTTCATTGTTTGAAAGTTACCAACATCCCGTTCTAAGCGTGAGTCAGACAAGTAAAAAAGAAAATAAAGCTCAAGTTCCTTCATGTAACAAAAAGTTTGGTTTGCTTTCCTCCATAATTAGTAAGATTCTACGATTTCTTGTCTCCATAAGAGATTCACTAAAAATTCCTATTTTTAGAGAACGTACCTTAATAGCACATGTATATATATTTTACACTTAGTTTTTTATATACATTAATTATTTCCAGTTTGATATATGTATATATGTCTAGGGAAGGACTTACTTTAATATAAATGTTAGCCCTATCCTTACACGTAACTCAGCATTTAAGAATATTATACAGATTATTTTATGTTCTAACTCCGAGTACATTCACATTAATGTTCCAAAATCATCTTTCAGCCATGGTATACTCAGTTCTTGTTATGATATATATGTACACGTTTTGAAGAAGTAAAAACAGAAAGCAAGGGGGTTTCGACGCTGAGTTCTTGTCGCTGTATAAAAACCTACTTATAAAATATTACATTTAAGCCTTTTTAAGCTCTTTTACCAGATTAACATACTTTAGAAATGGTGGCATCATGACGTTACACTTTGGAATACGCACTAACATACCTTTCGTGGCTGAGTTTAATACTTTGCATATTTTAACATGAAACTTAGACACTTTTCTAGTTTAAAACAACATAAAATAAAACTAAAAAAGGTGTTTCAAGTAAAACTTGTTTAGGAAGAAGAAACACGTCCTTTTAAAAATGATCTGAGTGCATCATATCTATTGAGTAAATGTTGATTAACTTTGCTTATAAGTAATTTCAAGCTGAGTAAACAGACTTCGTTTGTCGTGTGCTTTATATGACCTTTGATTATTTTCTGTTTTGTTCTTAGTTGTAAATGAGTGAGTTCTATATATTTTTGGTAGGTTTACCTATGCTAATAATTTTTTGGCGAGTGTAAAGAATTCTTTATTAGAATAAGCTCCAATGCGATGAAATCCAGAATCAATATATTATGATGTGATTTTACTAAAGTCGGTTGCTGCCTGCCGATTAGCACATGGAATCCACTAAAAGCTTCGTTAGTAGTCAAGTGACTGACTTATTCTTACACTATTTTCACTGTCATGATGGTCATTGGAACAGTTAAAAAAATTAACAGAAAACCCATGACCTACAAATGAAGTAAAAAAAAAGTAAATATGTTAAGAACATTTAAAAAGGCGGATTTGTGATATTTTTAATTTTTTATTATTATTTTACCAAGAATAACTGAAGACATCTTCACCATTCGGGATACTTGTCATCATGGCGGAACAAAGCTTCCCTGAAATTAACGCAAAGACTCCCATGCTACATGACTCAACAAATGTGATCCGCATGACTGAGCCATCTAATAGTTGTGGTAAAAAGGTAAGCTATGAAAAAACTGATGCAGTACAAGTAGTCATTTTAGAAAACAACATGATCAGAAAAATATTATATTTATAGCTAATTATGTCTAGTCGATATGTCGTTGGCAATTCTTAATGTTGTGTAGATTTTTACGATCTAACGAAAAACAATTCATCTATATCTTTAAAGGACAAACTTTGGAAAAACGTTTAGGAATAAGATCAAATTTAATATATATATATATATAGAGAGAGAGAGAGAGAAAGAGAGGGAGAGGGAGAGAGAGATTTAGTTAGAATTAATAATCTGGATTTGTTTCCATTGCAGTAGTAATACTTGAAACGAGTTTCTGGATAACAAGTTTAAAACTAAGATAACTGAGCTCTGCTATTTCGAGCTTTATCAGCTCTCGTCAGCTTGTTAGATCGATGATAGAGGCCATGTAAGCTTCATTTTGAACAAGCATAATAATAAAGGCAATTAATCAAGTCTAATGTAATATATTATACATTCATCTAGAACTAATCTTAACTAGATTAAGTGGTGCGAAATGAGCATGATGCTTTTCCTTAAAAATCCATCCATATAAAACTGTCTACAGAAGTTCACAGTGCGACAAATAATTAATCTCTCCAATAATTGTTACCAGTGGACATTGATAAAAACAGTTAAAAGATAGATGCCTAGATTATGTCATTACCCCCACCACCACCACAGTGTTCTTCAGTTTGTCATTAAACCTGGACCCATTTATAGGAAGAAACAAACAAATAGTGGGGTTCTTCCCATCACATCATTATCCAGTTTTGTCGCTCAAGATACTATGAGAATCAACAACTTCCTTTCCATTCTGTTCAGTTTATTTGCTCCAGCATTTTTGTGAAATTAACAAACGTAGAGCTCCCAGCTCACAATGACCCCACAGTTTTGACCACTTATTAAAGTCTTGAGTGATGGGTAACATGTCAGAATACATTTAAAACCACACATTCATCAAGAACTTAATTCTGGATAGCAGGAATGTTACTCCATATTATCCTTTCCTATCATCTTCCATTTCATCTGTACATTACACCTGTGGGTTCGGATAGGAATGGGTGGGCTGAGACATCTTAGATGCATGTTATCAATGCTTCATCTCGATAACCTTTTCCTTTTTTTAAGTTCTACTACCTCCCGGAATCTTGATTTAAACAGACTGTCTTTGGCATCTTTTAGCCATCATATACTCTATACAGCAGTGAACCTTAAGATTCACGTGTAGATTTATTGGAACGAGCCTATGGAAGCCATATTGTATACTTTTATTCGAATAACGATTTTGTTCTATTTGTTTTAAATAGGACCGAAGGTAATATTTAGATATACAAACAGTTACCTTTGTTACTGAGAAGCCTACCCCAGTGGCTCATTGATAAGTTTGAAAATTTCTAATGCTTACAACCCTGTTTCGATATCCGTGGTGGGCATAGCACGGATAGCTCATTGTGCGGCTTTTCGCTTAACGACAAACAAAATAAAATAAACTGAGAAGCCTAAAAATATGATTATATTTTATTGGAAAAGAAACTCCATAGATTGACGTAACATTCATTCGTAACTACGTTTAAAGAATGCAGATAATTAAAGACCACTCTCGTAAACAGTGGTGGAATTAAGTGTAAATACACAATGTACAACTGGAATTGGAAAAAAGTTATTCAGATGAGGACTAACAGAAACAAATGAAAACAGAAAATCTACACAAACTTCAGAGTTTTGTTGTTTATTTTTCGAATTTTGCGAAAACCTACTCGAGGTCTACTTACGTTAGCCGTCCCTAGTTTAACAGCGAGAAGGAACACCACCCACCACCAACTCTTGGGCTACCCTTTTACCAACGAATAGTGGGATTGGCCGTCACATTATAACGCTTCTAAGGCTAAAATAGGGAGCATGTTCGGTGACGGGGATTCGAATCTGTGATCCGCAGATTGCAAATGTTTTTCTTCATTAACTGAAGCCGCAATGAGCCGTTTGTAAATTTGAACTGATAGACTAGAGGGGGCATCTAGTAAGAAACACCTACCACCAGCCTTTAGGCTACTCTTGTCTGACAAATTTTTGTTTGTTTGTTGTTAAGCACAAAGCTACACAATTGGCCACCTGTCCTGTGCCCACCACTGGTATAGAAATCCTGTTTTAAGTTTGTCTGACCGAATAGTGGGAGTTAACAGTAATTATTTTAGTACACCCACAACCACGAAGTGTGGAGTGCGATTTTGCAGCAACAGGCCACGAACCATAAATCCTTGAATTTACAGTCTCAGTGCACTAATCACTTAGCCACTCCGAACCATTATATAGTTACAATAGTCAATCCTCTACTAAGTTAAAAGTAGCCGAGAGGAATGGCTATGTCTACATCTTGAAACTTCGGACCTCGTTGTGTTGCAAAAGTCCAATTTGATTGAAAACTACTTGTACTCTGGGCCTAGCGCAGCCCACTGGTCGGTGTGCCCAGTTATGAATCTGAGGTTCTTTGGTTCGAGTCTCGTGATAACAACAACAACAAAAAATCCCACTTCGCATTTTGGAGCATGAATACGTTATAAGAGTGACGTTAGCAATTGGTGTTGTCTGTCATTTAAACATTAGTGACGGCTAGCGCAGATAGCTTTCGTGTATCTTTGTGCAAAATTCAACAAACAAATAAACCAAATATTCCACTAAATCTAAACTTCTTAGAGTTACAATTTAGTTTCAAGAAAATTGAAATAGAGGTAAGATTGATACGTTAGTGTAAGACTCTACTTCGTAAGGTCTTAGTTTAATATAAAATTGTTGAAAACATTATTACATTAACTTGAACTCTCATTTGTAAAGATACATTTTGACAAACTAGAGGGGAAAAATTGCAAGATTATTACATTGATCTGAACTTTGTTCATTAGGTTATGGTTTATGGGGAACAAACAACTGCGGAAAACATTGTTACATCAACCTTACGGTTGTTGCTTCTACCTGAAAAATGTATTTAAACAATAACGGTCTTGGAACAAGATGTTGCATCAGCCTTACGATTGTTGTTCTACCTGAAAATGTATTTAAACTTTTTCGTTATTTGCTAGTAAAAACAGTACCTTTACGATCAGAGATCGGATTTCTGCAAAAAAACAGTCTTTTTTGGTTTATAAAACTAAAATAAGTGTTATGAAATTTCAGGTTAATATAACAATATTATCTCTTGTTCCAAAACTGTTATTGTTTAAATACATTTTCAGGTAGAAACAACAATCGTAAGGCTGATGCAACATCTTGTTCCAAGACCGTTATTGTTTAAATACATTTTCAGGTAGAAACAACAATCGTAAGGCTGATGCAACATCTTGTTCCAAGACCGTTATTGTTTAAATACATTTTCAGGTAGAAACAAGAATCGTAAGGCTGATGCAACATCTTGTTCCAAGACCGTTATTGATATACAGTTCGGTACAGAAATACGAATACTTTTTTAAATATATTTCTTAATTCAACAACAATAACGTGCAAGAGACATTTGAAAGGGCAGGGGCTCATTAATAAAAATTGACAATTGTCAACCATCATAAGGCGAGACTTTTTTAGGGGGAATGTTAGGGGAGAATATGGGGATCGTGGGTTTCCTCTGGTACACATAGAATAAAAAAGCAATAAAAAGCAAACGGATCCTCTTTTACTCTTATTCAGTTAGTCTTATATATACTTATTAAGATCTAAAACTAACAAGTGGATTATTGTGTATCAACACTAAACATATCACAACTATTTTTTTTATATTGTAAAGATCTACAGGTTCCCCGTGTATTATTCATTTTAAAGCTGAAATCACCCCCCCCCCTAATAACTCGCAGCTAGCAAGATGTGGAATCAGAGATGTCTTTAAGTGGTTATGTATAGTTTTTATAACTGAGAAAATAGGCACTTTTGAGGTGTAAGAGCAGAAAAGCAGCAGCGACAAAATATTTTCTTTTCACCCGGAGCCATTCAAATTTAAGGTCCTTTCTCCATTTGAGTCTTTGTTTGAAGTTACAAGTCCAAGGCCCTTTCTCCATTTGAGTCTTTGTTTGAAGTTACAAGTCCAAGGTCCCTTCTCCAATTGAGGTTTTGTTTGAAGTTACAAGTCCAAGCTCCCTTCTCCAATTGAGGTTTTGTTTTAAGTTAAGGACAAAGCTACACAATGGGCTATCTGTGCTCTGCCCACCACGGGTATCGAAACCCGGTTTCTAGGATTGTAAGTCCGCAGACATACCGCTGTGCCACTGGAGGGCTCTCCAATTGAGAGCTATGTTCTATGGACATAACTTTTATCAATGTTCTATGAATATATTGTTTAACAGTATTCTATGGGCATACTGTTTATTAAAGTTTTATATGCCAATGAATTATTATTTTAGAAATATGAATAATATTTTGTACATGTATAATTCCCTCTTAACGTTAATATCTCGTTTATTTTTATTCTTCAAGTTTTTGGAATGGATCAAGACGAACTTACTATTAGTTTTAACGATACTTGGTGTATTTTTGGGCGTTTTGCTTGGTTTTCTGGCAAGATTCGGTAATTATGGAGAAGAAGCGATCATGCTGGTTTCCTTTCCTGGTGATATTCTGATGAGGATGTTAAAGATGTTGATTTTGCCGCTAATAATTTCTTCCATGATATCAGGTAAGTAGACACGTTTGTTATAAAATTATACGATGCATCTTTAACTATCTCCCTGTCAGCCTATTTATTTAAACAAGTATAGTACAATAAAGCTTAATTTCTTTAAATGTCATAACCAGAATATGTGGCAAGCGTACAAACAGTATTCACATTCCTGTGAACTTAATATACGAAAATATGAGGCTTTTTGTGAATTATTTACTCCAGTAGAAAATGCAATCGAAAAGTGTGCAATTTCAAAACTTCCGAGGCATTAAAACATGGACCATAGTAAGAAAATAAACTCCAAGATAAATTTATTTATTTATTTTTGGTGGTTATTTTGATTTAAAAATAATTATTTCCGAAGAAATAATTACTAATCAGGGGTGCCCGAATATTAAGCAATCCTCCTTCACCCTATTGTTATCAAAGGTTGACAGGTTGGGCATCGTGAATGACGACTTTAGAAATTCCGCAAATAGATTACTTTTGTCACTATCAGAGGTGGCATATTTATTATTGTATTTGATGTATTATTAGTTTTAGTAGACTGGTATATTGATTTAAATTTCTGCCAAAAGGTGTTAGGTGACTTTTTGGATTGGTCTATTGAAATGCAGAAATTTTCCCAATTATTCTGCTGTCTCAGTGTGTGTTTTTTATTTATTTCTGGCAGTTATTTTGATTTAAAAATAATTATTTCCGAAGAGAATTATGAAATTTCAAAGTTATCCAGTGATATGGAAAAAATAGAATAAATTTCAATTAATAATTCTCTAAGTGTTACATGTAGAAAGATAAATTATAATTCCCTTTTGTTTTTTGTACGATATCGTATATTCAGCCAGCATATTACGTTAAGGTATTCTAATTATACAAGTATTTTACCACTATTCAGATTGCTTTGCTAATTTCTGCAGGAGATAAGTTTTTTTTATCACGCCCCCAGTGTTTGGTTTTAGTAACTTGTTTTTATTCGCATTTATTTTTTAAACTTGCTTTTCTGTTTCATTCCCAAACACTTGCCGTAGCACCCTCATGAACTTCAACTCATGATTGTTTAGGTTGTAGTTTCATTCCACAGGTAAATCTTACAAAAAAAGATTATGGGTGATAGAAGTTATAACTCCACTTCTATACGAGCTTGGAAATATTTTTCTTGCCGTGAAATATTTTACTATTCCTACTCATGTGTTCGTATTATTGAAAAATTAGCATATGCAAACGTAGTAATGTGTTACTGCAGATATAGGTGTATAATATTTGACAGTGCAAAAATGCTAAGGATAACTTGTTGCTGATAAAATATAAACAAATAGCATTTCAGAAAATACACATTCATGCAGTAAAATTGTTAAACTATTTAGAACAATAAATCATAACATTCAAGAAAAGAAGTTTGATTTGTTCTTCGTATAAGAGAAATAACTCAAACTGAAGTCAATGATTACAAAAGGGAACTTCTAACTCTTAAATCCCTTGTGATGATGGTGCGCGTATCTTCTGGTACAGTTGATTAACAAGGAATTCACGTTGACGAAATTTCATAAACTTTCAACCACAGTTCAAAATCACGGCTGTTTCGTGGAAATATGGCTGAAGAAACATGATTCTCAAAAATATCACTTCACAACACTTCTGTTAAGTACCCTGATTGACGTTTGTGCTTTGGCTTAAACATGGTCCTGAAAGCTAGCGTGCACTTACAGTGGATGATCAATATGTACGAGTAGCTAAGACTGACCCTATTATGTTTTACAGGAGTTTTTTTATAATGGAACGATTGACGTTAGAGGAGCCTGGAACATTGTTATTATAATGTGTGATAGTCTCAGCACAAGGAGATCCAAGGACAACATGGGACCTAGAAAATCTCTATTATATATTATATAACCTCAGCATATATATAGATCATGCGTGATAACGTTAGTACACGTAGTTCAAAGTAAAATTGTGGACTTGGGTCTAGGTCGTCACTATTATGACATGTGATAACTTTAGTACACGTAGTTCAAAGTACAATTGTGGACTTGGGTCTAGGTCGTCACTATTATGATATGTGATAACTTTAGTACACGTAGTTCAAAGTACAATTGTGGACTTGGGTCTAGGTCGTCACTATTATGATATGTGATAACTTTAGTACACGTGGTTCAAAGTACAATAATATGTGATAATTTTGTTATTTCTGTGTTTTATTTATCAAAAATATTTATTTTTACCTAGTTGTTTGATCTTAAAAACATGTAGTTGAAGATAGCGAAGAAAACCTGCTGTTTTACTTTCTTTTAGGAATGTGAATTTAAATATCTCTTGCATTGTCTGATAATAAATGCTAATTTCTGTCTGTATATAAATATATATATATTAATAATCCTCGTGTACTACTAGGTTTTACAAGAGTTATATGTTCTTCTAAAAAACAATGACTGAAAGCAAAGGAGAATATGCTATATATAATATGTTAACCACATTACCCCTGCCATATCCAGTGCCGACGAGGCCTTTTGCTTAATACCAGGATTCATCAGACCGTCTTGGATACTGGAACGGAAATGGACTTTAGATTAAAACTATACAAATGTCATAAGGTTTGATAATAGTCAAATCTTTGCATTTCACCAGGTAATATGAATCGTACTACCCAAGCATACAACCTGGCCTATAAGAGTTACCCCATCAGCTGTTTATAAGCATCATACCTGGCATAAGCCTAGTTTTTCTTTATAATACAGAGGGTTGAGTAGTTATATTAGAACGACGTTTAATATGCAAATCAGCAAGTAACGTGAAAACTACAGTCGATATGGTGTCGCGGTGGAAGTGAATATATCAGAACTACACTTTGACATTCTTTGTCGTTACGTACGCAGCGTAATGCCCCTGAAAATTGTTCACTTTTGGAGAAGGTATGTAAAAATCCTTTCTCACCCAAAATATTCGTACTCTTAGGCCATAGGGATATGTTTAGTGCATATGGATTTCTGTGCATTTGGACTACTGAATCGAGCATTATCAAACCATTGTATTGGTACATCAGATAGATTGTGGAAACACTGCAGAAAGTGGTGAGTTTGGATATAGCGGCCTTACAACAGAACCTTTTGGTATTTCGCTGTAGGGCTACTGCTAAGATGTACAGTTGCGAGATAATGTATGACCAAACGTGGAAAAGCTCTAAAATCGTTTCAATATAACGTACTCAACTTGTGTAGTCATCTCCTGATATAACATCAGGTTGTATAAGAAACGCTATCCCGACATGTCACAAAGTTTTGTTAGTTATATCCTGACATACTACCAGGTTTTATTATATTCATGTCCTGGCACACTAAAAGGTTTTACAGTGTTCATATCGTAGCATACTACAAGGTTTTATACCTGTTACATTCAGAAATCTTCGAAGTTGCTTATTCAACTGTATGAAAAAAATAAGCTATGTTCCAGATGATTAGTGATAGGTGGTAAAAAAAGATGAGTGTAATGCTTAATTTGATTGAAAACGATTTTATTTCGATACATCATTTATGAGTTGCGATAAGAACATTTTTTGTTTTTTTTAAATAAACAAACATTTCTTTAAAGTAATGAATTAAGTAATTTATTTAAGAAATAAAGAAATTAAAGTAATTTCTTTATCACTAACTTAAAACACGTGCAATGTTCAGTTTTCACGTACTAAAATAAAGTTTGTTCACAAATGAAATTATATTAACATTTAAAAGATTTATGATTTATACTTGCTATTATCAGTGAGAATATTGTGTAATTAAAAGCACATTATCGAACCAAGTAACATCAAGTATATGTTAGTCAGGAGGCTACACGTAACCTGAAGTATGACAGTCAGTCCATTACCTGTAGTAAATATATATAACTTAGGCAGACCAACGCATTTAATCTCAAATTACGTGTGCAGAACTAAATAAAGGATCAATATATATATATATTTCTTACTAGTAACTAGATTATAAATTACACACTATCCTAGAAGTCACAACAGAACATGTACAATCTTATGCCGAGTACATTAACCGCAATATGATAACTACGTTTTCTCTGATGAAATGAGAATTGTACAGTCGGAAAAAAATATATTGTAAGAAATGGTATCTGAATGCTAATGGTGCTTTTAGACCGGATAAACTTCATCATTACCAATCCTGAACAGAAAAGTTCTGTAAGAATAAACTGGACAAGAACGCGTCTGGGACCTCTTCTGGAATGAATATCACATAAAAAACCACCAATCACCCTGAATCATTTGGGGAACGAAAACATTTTGATGAGCAAATAGAGAAACATTTCTCAAAATTCTAGACATCAAACTCAAAACACATGTTCGGGATGTTCTGCAGGGATTTGTATCACATCTACCTTAACCATCAAATAGACATCAAACTCAAAACACATGTTTAGGATGTTCTGCAGGGATTTGTATCACATGTACCTCAACCACCAAATAGCCATCAAACTCAAAACACATGTTTGGGATGTTCTGCAGGGATTTGTATCACATCTACCTCAACCATCAAATAGCCATCAAACTCAAAACACGTGTTTGGGATGTTCTGCATGGATTTGTATCACATCTACCTCAACCATCAAATAGACATCAAACTCAAAACACATGTTTAGGATGTTCTGCAGGCATTTGTATCACATCTACCTTAACCATCAAATAGACATCAAACTCAAAACACATGTTTGGGGTGTCCTGCAGGGATTTGTATCACATCTACCTTAACCATCAAATAGACATCAAACTCAAAACTCTGAAGGGATTTGTATCACATCTACCTCAACCATCAAATAGATTGGAGAAATCTTTGCAGAAATGTGGGGGTGGGCATTTTCTTGAGCTACACACAGAGATATGCAACGCATGCAGAACTGTGTTTCAGAAATATTAATTTAACTACCTGCAAAACATATACTATTAAGTTGTTGATCCTTCGATTCTTATTCGGCGTAGCAGATAGAGCTTACATTGTAACTAATACAGGTTACAGATACAGGTAACAATCAGCTAAAGAAGTTGTTGTCAGTGTTTGTTAAAGGATATTACAATGTGCTTATTTTACCTCTAGTTTCAAGATAAAGGAAGTAAACAACTCATTTATTTTTTTTCTCTAGGACTTGCTCAGCTAGATGCTAAGTCAAGTGGACGGATGGGCTCTAGGGCTTTGGTTTACTATTTTGCTACAACCATGCTAGCTGCTGTGCTTGGAATTACTCTAGTTTCAGCAATTCACCCTGGTGATCCGTCTATCAAAGAAGGGGTTGAAACAGATTCCGAAGATAAGAATGTCTATACCCTGGACGCTTTCTTGGACCTCATAAGGTATGAGCAAGCACGATGCTAGTATATTTGGTATAAAAATACCTCGGAAATATAAGGTATGAACATAGCTAGTGCTAGTATACTTGGTTACATAGTATAACAAATATCCTGGAAATATAAAGTATAAGCATGGATAATGTGGTTATAAAAGATATGCTGGAAACATAAAGTATGAGCATGACGATGCTGGTATATTAGGTATAAAAAATACTCTGGAAATATAAGATATGAACATAGCTAGTGCTTGGTTACATAGTATAACAAATATCCTGGAAATATAAAGTATAAGCATGGATAATGTGGTTATAAAAGATATGCTGGAAACATAAAGTATGAGCATGACGATGCTGGTATATTAGGTATAAAAAATACTCTGGAAATATAAGGTATGGACATACGCTCTGGTACTATTGTAAATATAGATCAAACAATATTAACTTAGGACTTAATAAATTATTGAAATTATAATTTAAGCTAAATATTTTCAAATGTTTCTTAGTATTTAAAAACATAGATATGGGGTAGTAAGGATTTTAGCTATTCTGGTTGAAATTATCAAACTTCAGAGACACATAATCATACCAATGTACTTTAAGGTTGGTTGTAGATGTAATGTTTATATCTTTGTAATCTTCAAAGGCTTGATTTGAAAACATTACAATGTCAGTTGAATGCTCGTTTTGTAAAACTAAGTTTTATATTAATGTCATGAAACTAGTTCTACATAGATATATCAGATGTCCTTTGACGACAGTGGCTTTCAAAATACTATTGCCAACTAAGATAACATGCAATAATTAATGGATTTTTGGGACCAACACTAGCATGTCAACACTAATTTATTTGTTTTTCTATTCCCGTAGAACAGGATATGGAAAGACGCGAAAGTTGATAACTAGGAATTATAATATGAAACAAGTTGGTTCAAAATAGCTCATCGCTTGAGAAAAAAGGCAGACAGAAAAATAATACATAGGTTGAAATTGGTCAAGTAATTGGTCAGTGAAGCTAATAAATATGTTGAGGAGATATTTCCACTGGAAAACATCAAGAGCATTAAGTAAGTCCAGACAAATAGGTATAAGTATAAGTGGCCGTAGGATGTGGAGGAAAAAGTCAGGACTGGTCAGCACAGCCTAAGTCTTGGAATGAATACACGAGCAAGTACTGACACAGATAACAACATCAGCTGTCTCAGTCAGGAAAGACGTGACTGCATAGGAAGAACTGCGTGGAAAAACGGACATCCAGTATCAATGGTCAGCGGCCAAAACTGAGCGTTCCGGTTATTCAGAGCAGAATTTGAGCCATACGATAATGCACTTGTCTGGTTGACCAATAACAGTAAAGATCATAACAGGACAATATTCCTTACAGACTCCCTAAACCTCATCACAATATTAAAGACAGATTTTGCCTAAAGAACATCAGTGAAACCCTTAAAAGACTTCAAGACTCATCTGATAACGACCTAGAATCTAGGCCATAGCGGCTTATCACAGATCGAGAAAGTGGACCACCTAGCTGGTAAAATCTCTGAATGATGTCGTCAATGAAACATCGTGTAGAATGAGGGAACAAGAAATGATGGAATAGAGGTCAAACTGGTCAAATGGAATATAGAGGAATGAGGGTGGAAGTATAGAAGTGATATACAGAATAATTAATAGTAAAAAAGTAAAAATAAAACTAACTGCTGCCGGAAGGTTTCCTTCCTGTGTTCGGAATTAAGGAAAGCGTCACTGCTACCTGGACTGTGACGAGATTCCACGATTGGAGTGAGGATAGTTTTGGATGGTGGCAAACTTTTCTAGCATGTAAATAAATAAATAGATAAATCATTTGGAACAGTAAATCTTCGGCTAATATAAGGATTGCTTTGCATGCGAATATCACAAGTATTATCCCATAGGTCGAAAAAATTCAGCATCTGCCACAACCAACCAGTTGCAGTCAACATGTCTGAAGCAAAGCGACCTCTGCAATTAACAAATTGTATAACGCACAGAAAGATTTACGATACCGATTTTTCTGTAAGAGCAACATCCTATAACTTGTCAATCACATCTTTGAATGAAACAAATCAGATTTTATTTTATCTTAAGAATCGAATTTGGTGTAAAAAAAATCAATGGATATCAATCGTATGGAATGTGAATGCTACTATTTATTGGAAGGTGTTTGTTAGCAGCCTGAATACTGCTAACACACGAGATACAATACTGTCTCCCAAACCATAAAAGGTAGAGGGGGATAGTTAACGCAGGTATGAAAATAATATCCAGATGTGACATTCTGGACAATCATGTACTAGTTGATGGAAGTTTATTGGGAAGGGAATGTTTCATCAGAATAACGTTCCAAGAAATGCTACTCACCCTGTCCAGCAGTTGTATGGAAACAAATAATATCTTAAGCCTTGACCTAAGTCTAATGGAATCTATTTAAAAAGGTTTTAGAAATCGGCTGAGAAACAGAAGAATGTGTTTGTTTTAGCGCAAAGCTTCACGATGGGGGAATCGAGCCCCAGAATTTAGTGTTGTACACTTTCAGCTAACCCACTGGGGGTGGGGTGGGGCGAAACAGAAGAGACAAGTCCAAAATTCAAACTATAGTCAGAGTTGCTTTGCAAAAAAAAAAAAAGCGAAAGTCCAACCCATCAAGTATTTGCCAGAGGCTGATATCAAATTTCAGTTACAGGGTCTAGTTTGTGATTAACACCAAAGATGGCCCTACCTCATATTTACATGATACCCTCCTTCTTAAAGCCTCCTAATACATCTGGTAATAAAGACTTTACATACAAATGTTTAACAGTTGCATCTTAGATCAAAAAATATTGTATCAGCTGAAAATGGAGTTTTTAATAATTCCGATTTTTCGGCACTACCCAGTTCCTTGTTTTGAATATTGTTTAGGTTTGTGTTTTACTCGGCATTTACTACAAGTGTATTGATGATGTTGCTAGTATACAAGGCAAAGTGCAACCAGTTGATATTGATAATGCCGACCACCTTTTTATTGTTTTTTTTTATTCTAGAAACATGTTTCCCGAGAATCTTCTTCAGGCCTGTTTCCAACAAGTTGAAACAACATACACTAAAGTGAAAGCCAAACCAAGCATTGGCCGAACTGGAACGAACTTGACCAACCAGACAGAGTTTGAAAACGTCACACAGTACATCCAGAAGAGAGGTTTCGTTTACAAAGATGGGACTAATGTACTTGGTGTGTAAATAAAATTATCATAACTAAATTAAAATTGTATTTTACAAGCTGACGTACCCGTCCTTTGCCCGGGTTAT